ACGAACGTCGTCAGTCTGGAGATGGTTAGAAAGCTCGGCCTGAGCACGATAAAACACCACGAGCCCTATAGCCTGCATTGGCTCAACGACCATGAAGTGGTGAAAGTCACGAAGCAGGCATGGGTTGAATTTGAGATCGATCAGTACAAGGATCGAATTCTCTGTGACGTGGCTCCAATGCACGTCGCACACATTCTCTTGGGACGACCTTGGCAGTACGATCGAGGCGTAACACACCATGGCCGGCAAAATTGTTACACGTTCCAGTTCGGTGGAAAGAAACTGAAGTTGAGTCCACTATCACCGGCCGAAGCTAGAGCCGATCAACAGCAATTGGACACAAATCGGAGCAAAGACAGGCAAGAAAGAGGCGAAGGCGCAAGTTTGATAGCTCGAAGGCTGGTACTCACGGCAATCAGACGACAATGCACTCCACCGCCATGTTCAGCGCGCCCCTGTTCTTCGCCGACGACGGAGCAGGGGAGGAGAGAGGGGTATTTCGTTGGAGAGTTCGGTGATGATCCGAACTCGGGGAAAGGTGCTAACACGTTCCAAATTGTGCAGGGAAACTCTAAAACTAGTTGGTTTGACACGAAAACGGCTGGATTGCAACATCCGATTCGAGCTCGAAGTGTCCTGAACACGAGCAAACACGACCAGAAAATGCGCGAATCGGTTGGAACGATTGGGCATGAATCGACACAGGTGGGTGATGCGAAAACGTTCGCCTGTGTCCCAGGAAGCTGTCGAAGTCATCAAATCCGGCCGATGAAGCGCGGATTGAAAAGCCCCAATTTTCTATTGGGATTTCTGGGACCGGAAAATTTAAACGACGGCGGTGGCGGGAAAGAAATAATGCGATCGTCGTCGCGGTACTGGGTGATTCGACGCACGAGGTCTAGCCAGAAGTTCAATTCGAGAGCTGACGAATCTCTTGGTAACCTTGAATTGGTCTGGAGATGCCTGGAGAAGAAACCCCCAATTTCGGGCCTGAAGAACACAGCCCTACTCTTACCGACCAGGGGTTTCGAGCAGCCCTCTTTTGATCACATTTGGAGTCAGTTCTGTGCAGATTATGATCGAAGGACAGCTCAAGCTTTGAGGACAAAGCTTTTTCAACAGGGGGGGCCTGATATGATCTCAATCGGATCAATCTTGAAGCTGGAATTGCTTGAGGAAGAAGGAAGTGGAGTTTGGAAGAAGAAGGAAGGAATTTGGCTAAGTGTTGGGTCAGGTTTGAGTTACCTACTTTGGGAGCTCATATCTCCCAAGCCATTCAATGAAAATGTGAGTTTGAGGGATCAATGTGATCTTCAAGCCTTTATAAGTCGATTGATATGTCATGGGGCTCAAGGAGATGCCAGGAAGGATGTTTACCAAGCCTCACAAAATGCTATGGAGAAACCTGGAATCTGTCCAGATTTGACTAAGGCAGAAACTGTGATCAAGGTGCTACCTTTGAAGACCCATAACTTGAGTTTGGGAAATGAGTTCGAGCTGATTCAAGTTGGAGGATACAGAGGAAGTTTCCTTCTACAACGACAAGGGATTGGGTGAGATCGAATCATCTCGGAGGACTATTGTCGAGGGCTTCAAAGAAGCTATCTCGCACTGCCAGTAATCCGTGTCAAACAAGGATTCCCAATTCAATTCGGTTTATGTTTGTAATTTAGTTTCCTTGCTTAGTTAGGTTAATTTCAATCCTTATTCTGGTTTGTTTGTAACTATGTAAGCCTATATAAAGGCCTCAAGCTCGTTTGTATGTTGCAGATTGCATTGAATAAGAAAAACCCCAAAATTGAACAACTTGCGAGTTGATTGTTGAGCTTAGGATTTGGTTGCGATCAAACCTAGGACAATTGAGTCTATTAGCTGAGTTTTTCACCCTCAGCTACTCGAAGGATGTTTACCAAGCCTCACAAAATGCTATGGAGAAACCTGGAATCTGTCCAGATTTGACTAAGGCAGAAACTGTGATCAAGGTGCTACCTTTGAAGACCCATAACTTGAGTTTGGGAAATGAGTTCGAGCTGATTCAAGTTGGAGGATACAGAGGAAGTTTCCTTCTACAACGACAAGGGATTGGGTGAGATCGAATCATCTCGGAGGACTATTGTCGAGGGCTTCAAAGAAGCTATCTCGCACTGCCAGTAATCCGTGTCAAACAAGGATTCCCAATTCAATTCGGTTTATGTTTGTAATTTAGTTTCCTTGCTTAGTTAGGTTAATTTCAATCCTTATTCTGGTTTGTTTGTAACTATGTAAGCCTATATAAAGGCCTCAAGCTCGTTTGTATGTTGCAGATTGCATTGAATAAGAAAAACCCCAAAATTGAACAACTTGCGAGTTGATTGTTGAGCTTAGGATTTGGTAGCGATCAAACCTAGGACAATTGAGTCTATTAGCTGAGTTTTTCACCCTCAGCTACTCGAAGACAACCCCATATCTCGAGTGCTTCTTCCCAGGTGTGAAGAAACCCTCAGATTCCATCTGTTTTTTGGTGCTCGAAGCTAGCTACCTAGGCTGGTTTTGAGACTCTGTTTCGTCAGGTGCAAGGAGTTGACCTTAGTTCAATTGAATTGAGGCCTGTGCTGCGTTGATTCTGATCATACACCCTCATAGGGGCGTATTACAAAGGGGCAATCCCTGACCACACGAATTGGTGTTTCCGGCCCAAACCCACACACTGGGCAATCATCGGACTGAGATAGGTGCCTGCGACATCTCTCTTTATTCGTGAGCAGTCGTTGGTGGAGGAATAGCCAAAAAGCGTCCTTGTGCATTGCGGCCCCAGATACGCCATGTAGCTTTCCACATGTGATTTTTACCCCCTTCCTCTTCACCGCCATGAGTCAGTGGGTAGGCAGATTTAACAGAAAAGACACCAGATGGTGATAACGCCAAACCAGTGTATCAACTTCGGTTCCCTGTGGGACAGGATGAAGTTGTACCTGGAGAGCAATCTCCTCTGACAGGAATGCTCTTATGAAGTCCAAATTCTAGCTGCTATTGAGAACCAATTGCGCAACAAATAACGTCAACGCTTACTCGGCTAAATTCATAGCATAGTGTCCCAAAGGTGGCTCGTCTTGGAGCCAAACATTGGACCAAGGGGGACAACACAGAGGGATGGTGATCCTAATTTTGGCTTCAGATCGTCTTGTACGACGGGGCCAATGCAGCTCGACCAAGACAGAGGGCTGTTCGGAACTAGGGATTTGACATTTCGATTTCCAAAATCAATGTTGCAGGAAGACAGTAGATTTTAGTGCAGGCAGAAGGTACAAACTCGAGATTGGATCGGTGGCGTTAAGTTCGCCGAATAGTTTTTTCTATTCACAGGGAGACGGAGCGCCAAATTGAGGAAGACAAACTCTGTTTTTCCTTTTCGTTCCATATTTCTTTTCGCTCGACGAGAAAAACAAATGCATTTAAAAATTAAAACTTATAAATGATTGGAAGAAAAGAAAAGCTAAACGGATGGGAAGTGGGAAGACGGAATCAATGCATCTCCGTCACTTTGGTTAAAATAGGTTTGGGGATATATTTCAGGGTAGTGGGTTTGAGCTGAAATTACATAATTCAGCTCATGACACATCTGCTTCACGTGGCCCAAGCATATTTAGCGTCACCGGTGCCACACTTTTTACAACGCCACCGTAGTATTGGCCTTACTTTTGTGGCTATCTACATCCAACCTGCACCAACTCGCAGTGGGTAGTGGTAACTACTACCCACTGCGGGGCAGGTTGTGAGTAGCATAATTCAATCTTTGTGGGTGTGGTTAACCGCAAAATGTGGGACGGGTAACCAATTTTTACCCCTAGATCGAGGTAGTGGGTCGGCCCTAATCAATCAACACACTACTTCTTTAAAAGCTACAGTTTGGTCCTTTTAATAATGAAATATAATCATACAAATAATTTAACTACACTTCTACATTATTAACATAATATAATAATTATAAGAAATACACTAACACAATACAAACATAACTCATAATCTAAATACAAATTACAAACAATCAAACGTTTTTCTTTTGTTATTTTAAAATTTTGTACATTATCCTTTTAATAATGAAATATCATCATACAAATAATTTAACTACACGTCTACATTGTTAACATAAAATAAAAATTATAAGAAATACACCAACGCAATACAACATCTATATTGTGAACTTATAATCTAAATACAAATTACAAACAATCAAACATTTTTATTTTTTTTATTTTTTATTTTGTACATTCCTAAAAAAAAATTGTACATTGTCCTTTTAATCATACAGATAATTTAACTACTCTTCTATATTATTAACATAAAATAATAATTATAAGAAATAACATCAACATAATATAGCATCTATTATGAACTCATAATCTAAATCCAAATTACAAACAATCAAACGTTTCCATCTATTTAGTGAATCCCAACTATCAAGACATCAAACACAAGTACCACAAGATCATCATCATTTACAAACATCATAGAAACAAAGACTACTAGGTTGCAAAGTTCGCTCTATTGACTGCAAAGGGGAGTCAAGAGAGGAGTAGTTTTTGTGTTCCGGCTCTTAAACATAGCTGAAACTTTGGGTGGAGGATTTCTACAATAGGTGTGAAGTGGGATGTTTGAAATTGCGAGTTTTGTTGGTTTTGAATTTTAAAAACTTCCCCCCTTATTCGAAGTAAAAACTATATAGTTAAAACAATAAGTAGTTATTGGTTTACTTATCGATTAACCACTAATCAATTAAACGATTAGCGGTTAACCACTAAGCAAATATAGCTAACCAAAACCGAATCACTACTAAATTATCGATTAATTACTACCATAGTTATCAGTTTGATTAATGGTTAAAACTTAAAAGCAATAACTAACTACCCATTTACCATTCCTATTTGTACCATACTGTAGAAATTCAGTTTTTCACCATATACTTTGGTTTTTTTTGGTAAACCGATGCTTGCAGAATTCCTCCAATAATAAACAGATAGGTTGCAACTTCAGTATTTTATTCAACGATGATGAAACGAAACGCCAATCCAAAACATTCCAAAGTTCCTCTCAAAAACAGAAGAAAAACTACCCTCTTCTCAACCTCTAATAGTATCCGCACAAACTTTCTTTCTCTTCTTGGAGCTTCTGTCATATGACAACTACTGGCGAATAGCTCTGCTAGCTCTCCGGCAAAAATTGAACAAAGTCCTCAAGTAGGTCGCTGTGGTCTTTGAAAAGTTCAGCCACCTGCAACAAAAGAACAACAAGAATGAACAAAATGGACAGAATTTTACGCCATTCTGATGCCACATTGGTCATGCTATTGCTAGGAACACATGATCCCAACAACGCCTCAAACTTCAACAACTTAGCAAGAGTTGAACATGATGGTTAATTAGTATATACCCGTAGATAAACCTCTGCTATGGGTAGACGCCCACTCCGAAACCTCATCAAGACATCCATAAACGAATCGTAAACTCGAGCATCACCTTGAAACCTCCTCTGCTTAAAAACATTCAACATAAGCCTACATAGCTCTTTCACAGTACAATGTAGATCACGTAACATACGTAGGCAACACGGATGGGATAGCACAGCACATCGATCTACCTTAATTTTGCTGATGAAGGTGATGGCGTCTTCAAAGTCAACTGGTTTCTTCCGTGGAGGAGGAGGTTTTTTAGCATCGCCAACTGCGAGGCTGATCTTATATCCCTCAGGCAGGAAGGTATTGAACCCCAAAATCAGGTCGGGATGCCCTCTAAATAGCTGCTTCACCCTTGCAATGACACTGCTAGTGTCAATTCTGCAGTGAAAATGGGACACAAGGGGGGACAATATGCAATGGTAATCAGGCAATCTTTCTAGCTTCTCATATTTGTCATTAACATCTAAAGAACCAAACATAATATATAGGGGAACTAAAAAAAACCTCACCTCATAGCTCTATAATCCTTCAAAACCTCGAGAAAGTCCTCGTGCGTTTGGGGTTCGTCCCGAAATGTCTGCTTTACAGCGTCGAGATAACCCAATGCATCCTTCTCAGAAGTAGGCATTCTTGTGCCCCCTTCTACTTCCCCTGATAACTGTGGCTAAGAGTTGCACACAATGTTAATTAGTCAACAATCCCATTTCGAAACTGCATTTAAACAACTAAGTAAGCAGAGATCGTTCCATCTAGCTAGTTTCTCGCAAAACATGGCCACAATCATCAAGTGGTTCACTCCAAAAGAATCATGAAGTGGTTCATCCAGGGTGCTGCTTCAAGCTTTGCTTACTCCATTACAAATAGAATAACACATTTCAAACCCTGATGAAGGGAACTCAGACCCCTTTTTCAAAGCAAAAGATAAATTACAAGCACAACAAGCTACTATAATATTAGATGGAACCAGCAATAATCAACAACAAGGTTTCGAGTTTCCACCGAAAAGGTAAAGCTTTCAGAAACAGCACTACGGCCAATTTATAAATCTGGTCATTGGAGCTATCGGAATCAAAACAATCTCCCCAATTGAAAGAACATACAAAGAATCGTCATCAAACAATCTCGACTCGCAGATCAACACCACTGAGAAGTAAACCATTCGACAATCCGAAACCCAACTGATCATAGACAAAGTCCATATAGCCGTTACTTGGACGCAAAGCAAACATAGTGCAATCAAACAATTCTGAATTTCCATTAACAAAGCAAACAACAGCATGGGAAAAAGGGCTTAAAGCGCCGCCGATGATGTACAGATCGATATCGAACATCACGCAGGCAATACGGAGAGGAAAGGAAGAGACGATCCTCCATTTTCCAGACCACTTCACAATTAAACAAGAGATTACAAAACAAAGCGAACAACTTCCACCCTCAGGCTTCACAACTTGCAAATGGCCATGGATCAACAGGGAAAAGGAAGGTGCATGCAGAAATGGATTACCAAACGACAAAGGAATTCAGACACAGGGACGTACCTTTCAACCGGGGAAGAAGATTTGAAGTAAGCAGAGAGGCTTCTCTGTACGAGGAATGCAGACAGTACAGTATTTAAAGGCAGGGGATGGGGTGGAAACTAAAACGGCAGAAAGACAGATTTTACGGTGGAGTATGTATGTAGATAGATTCACGCTCCTGGCCGTAATAATATGTTACGGCCTTTCCCGGTAACTTCACGCGCCGATTACCGGCTGTTGCCGGTTGGCCGCATTACTTAAAATGGTTTTTCTCGCTACCAACCCACTCGACTCGTCATATCCCGGTGATGCAAAAACTAGGGTTTTTAACTGGGCCGGATATTTTAAATTGCTGTGCCAAGCCCTGAAATGAAAGGGGTGAGTTTCAAATTTGACCCAACCCAAGTTGGTGGTGGTTTTTTTTATCGCTGAAGAAGAAGAATGAGTTTTAATTTATCGTTGGGATCTTCAATTTTGTATGTCACTACTTTATTGTTCAAATTCGATGATCGGTATGTTACTTGAAACGTAACACACTTTTACTTTTGGCGTGATAGATTTACGTATCGCACAAATCAATTTTATGCGTGATATAAATCGGTGTTGTGTTCGATTCATGGTTACATAGAACGTAGAAATGACAAGACTTTTAACCGCAAAATATGGCTTATCCATAACCTCAACCGAATAAAAGACATAACCGCAAATCACGCAGTTTTGGTGCGAGCGATTTAACTGCAAAACTGCTATCAGATTCCACCACTAATCGAGTTTCTAACTAGGAAATAAATTTGTTATACGAGTTTTGGCTACACACCCCTAATTATCTCTTACTAAATTTATGTATAGTAATAAATAATGATTCATCATTTATGAAAAAAAACATATCAACATTTTGGGAAGAGGAACCACAAATACAAGAAAAAAAAAAATAATTCATAAAAAAATAAGAAAGAACAAGTAAGGAAATAAAGATGGATATCGGCACTAGATTTTTGGAAATAGGAACCACAATTAGAGAAAGAAATAATAAAAATGAAAAAGAAAAAGAAAGGACTATAGACATGCATTTTTGTTTTTCCTCCAATTTGAGAGACGAATGATACAATAGTTTCACCTTTTATCCTTTCCCTCGTTACTATTTAATGCTTAAAAAAGAAAATATTTATTGGAATCCAAATTTTCCACAAGAATTTTTCGTTTCCTCCATTTTCTTTTTAAAAAACAAAGAATAAGTGAAAGTCAATATGGAAGAGCAAACTTGAGTCCACTTCTAAAATTTCACTATCTTCATTTTATGTGTCATGGGTTGAATAAATAAGTATTTAGTTGAGAACGAGTTAGGGTGAATACTGATTTCTAGTAGTCATGATGGCAATAAACATCTCTATCGTATGTTTTCCTCTACCTTATTTATTAATTTGACTATCAAATTAGTCTGAGACAATTTGGATAACAAAAATCACATGTGATTATTACTTTTTTTGTGAAAGTGATTATTTTTCGTTAAAATATAATTTTTCATATATATCTATCTCCACAAACACTAACAGATCATCCACTCTCTTATCGGCTCTTCCTCCATCGCTGATATGGTTGTGTCTTCCACCCTCCGCCATAAGTTTTTTGCCTCCAATGTAGGTGACTTTGCTTATCCTAGAGAGTCGCTCTGATCCTTCCGACAATCACCACTAGGCAAAACCACGTCGATTCTACTCCTCCGTACTATTCAAACTCTGTTGGTGTTCATGAATCTTCTCACTACCGAATATCGTCATCGCTCATCTTAAAGTCAAAGACGCTCAGATCTGTCCTCACGACCCTGCTCCTCGCTGTACACTTCTGTTGCATAATCGTGGGCATACTTTGATTTTTCCCACAAGTCTGCTGAATAAATACAATGGTGCTTGTCTTTCAGCATCTGTGGATTGTCTGCTATGTACCAACGGAAAATGTGCACATATGTCTCTAATTTATCCCTTTTCTCATTCTCGCATGCGTTTTATTCTTAATTAAGTGCCAAGAACATAAAAACATTTATCGGTCAGGCCCGAGTCTGTAATAATTCATTTTTCACTACTCTGAATGTCTCTCATGGATGATGTGTTTGGACTTTGGATGATATTGATGAATGTTTTTAATTTGTGCTTGTCTATGTGGTGGTTATTAATACATTTTTCAACCTTTTTGGCTAAGATTAAGTGTACTTGGAGGGTATTCTTTTCTTCTCTGTTGAGTTTTTTGTCATTATTTTTCAGGTGGATGGAGTCATCCTTGGAGCCTTTGGCGTATTCAATGTTTTCTTTTTTTTTTTTATGGGCAATATCAAAAAATTTTATTGAAGCACTATGTGTCCCCCATTAAGTAGGGAAGAGCACATCTGGGTCATTTACAATATGCAGCTGCATAACTGCTACATATACACAGCAAACAAATGAAAAAATACCTAACATATACACTAGTTATTACTGACTAAAAACAACTCGGCAATCTGCATCCAGAGCCATGTTACCACATCTAGCCAGCTCGATTACCCTTCTCACTGTCCTGACCAACTCCATAGATTGCACAACTGAGGAACCATACAGTCTACCACAACGTTCCCTCCATATCATACTCACCACTAAGTTCCAAACCAAACGACCCACCTTGGCTAAAGCTGTCTTCCCCTTGAATGTTCTTACCGCCCACTGCAAATACTCCTCATAGCCAGTTAGCTGAGGACAAGTTTTGTTAAGCATGAGCAGACAACCCTTCAACACCTGCTTTGTGTAATGGCAATGAAAAAACAAATGATCCCTATCTTCTGCTTGCGCCAAACAGAGCAGACATGTTGCACTGGCTACTTTCCCCCAACTCTGCAACTGTACCAAAGTTTTAATTCTATTTCTCGTGATAAGCCAGCTTAGAAAACTGTGCTTTGGGATCAAATGCCTCCCCCAAACCAGCTGATACCATTCCACCCGAGGTCTAGTTGGTTGCAAATCTTGCCAGACCTGCTTCACAGAGTAATTGATCATTCTCTTATCCTTCCAATACACTTGTGTTCCCCAGCATCTAAAGAATCCTTCAACCTTGTCCCTGACCTTTAAAATTCTCTTCCAAATCCAAGAGGCAGTGCTACACTTCCCCAGTTCCCAGAATGTGAGGTTCTTGATTCTATATTGATATGTCCAAGCAACCCACCAGGACCCTGTTTTCACTAGTAAACTCCATATATGCCTTGTTGTACAAGCCACGTTCCAGGTTTTAAGACATTTTATACCCAGCCCCCCTTCTCTCTTTGGTATGGCCACCAAATCCCAAGCCATCACAGCTTTTTTCCTCATGGACTCCTCTGTTATCCCCCATAAGAACTTACTGCACAGCTGCTCAATCTCTTTAATGATTGACATTGGTAAAATGAATATATTCATCCAATAGAAAGACAGGCTACTCAACACAGAGTTTATAAGCTGCAATTTCCCTGCATAACTAAGCAGTTTAGGTTTCCATCCTGCAATTCTCTTTGTGATTTTGTCCACTAGCACCCTGCAATCACTTTTTGTAAGCTTCCCTGCTATCAAAGGTACACCCAGATAACGAACAGGGAGTACTGCTTTCTGAAACCCTGCCAAATGAGCTAATCTATCATGATCTGCCTCAGCAATCCCTGCACAGAATAGCTGACTCTTTTCTGGATTAAATCTCAACCCTGACAGCTTATAAAATTTTTCCAGCAGGCCTTTTACACTTTCCACTGCCTTAGTAGATCCATTAGAGAACAACAATAGGTCATCAGCAAATACCAGGTGAGTAATACCTAGTCTTTTACATCTAGGATGATAGGGAAAATCTCCTGTTGCTGCACCCTTGTTCAAGATACATGAAAGAACCTCCATTGCAATGGAGAAAAGGAAAGGAGACAGGGGGTCACCCTGACGCAAGCCTTTTTTAGAGGGAAAATAACCACATACACCCCCATTCACACCAACACTCAACATTGGGGAAGTAACACATTCCTTGATCCAGGAGATGAATTGTGCAGGAAGCCCCATTGCTGTCATAACTATGAACAAAAACTTCCAAGCAATGGAGTCAAACGCCTTCATAAGGTCAATCTTCATTGTGCACCTAGGGGAGATGTTCTTTCTATTATACCCTGCCACTAACTCTGATGCCATCAGTATATTATCACTGATATTTCTTCCTCTAACAAATGCTGACTGATTCTTGCTGATGAGCTGGGGGAGGACAGAAGAGAGCCTGTTTGCCAAAATCTTTGCAATACATTTATACAACACATTACAACAGGAGATTGGCCTAAACTGCTTCATCTGATCTGCACCAACCACTTTAGGTAGTAAAGCTAGCACTGTCGAGTTAATTTCTTTGGGGAGGAACCCTGTGAGAAAGAAGGAACTAACTGCACTAGATATGTCCTCTCCAACTACAGACCAAGCTGCCTTGTAAAATTCCACAGTATACCCATCTGGACCAGGGGACTTATTAGACCCCATATCAAATAAAGCATCCTTTATTTCTTCCTTAGAGACAACACTACAGAGGTGGTCAGTATCCTCAAGACTTAATTTGTGTACCAGTAATTTTTCCATGTCCTCTACTGATATACATTGGACTTCCTGGTTTTCCTCCCCTAGCAGTTTCTTGTAAAACTCCACTGCTACACTACCAATTTCCTCCACATCAGTTACTATACTGCCATCTTCTTTCTTAAGGAGTGAAATGTGATTCCTATGCTGCCTAACCCTTAGTGTTTGATGGAAAAATGCTGTATTTTGATCCCCCTCTGTAACAGCCTGCACCCTTGCTTTCTGCTTGAAAAACCCTTCTTCTGCTTTTTGAAACATCACACACTCAGCCACAGCTTGTGCTTCTGCTTCAAACAACTGGGGAGAAGGGTCCCTATATACCTGTTGTTGAATAACCTTCAGTGCCTCTTCTGCTTGTCTAGCACGCAAAGATATATCAGAGTAGAACTCTTTGTTAAACTCTTTCAACTTTTTCTTTAACAACCTCAGCTTGTGGCACACTTTGAAAAACGGATAACCAGTGACCCTAGTACTCCACACTTCTTGCAATAACTCTTGGAACTTTGGATGATCACACCAGAAATTAAAAAATTTAAACGGCCTTGGCAGAGT